GGATTTTTTCCCTGGGTCCTCCCTGACTTTCCCTCCACATTCAGAATCAACATGCGTTTAGAGTATTTGGCTGCTATACAATTTCCACGTGATAAGCCACTTCACTGAGCCATCCTTTGCGACCAGGTCGCTTCTGAAAAAGGGCTACATAGCTCAGTGGGCCTTACCTGGTAAAATAAAAATACAAACCCGCCGCTCTCCCCCGTGAACTCCTACAGCCACGACTCGACAAAACTCCGCCCCCCCTCCCGTGCCTATATAAAGCCACAACAGCAGATAATTTTCTCACCTGAAGACGGACGCTTGTGTTGTGACCGAAACGTCGTGTTTTCTTTGATTATTTTTTCTATCTACGTGACTTTACCGAAAGAACCAGAGAGTATAAAATAAAAAATAGTTTATCGTTTCCCATAGAGGTGGGCAGGGATATAAGAAACATGTCCATTGTTTCTGTCACACAAGGAGATCGAATCGAACCGGCAGCATCTGTATTGCAAATCCAGCGCACTAACCAGTCACACCTTGGCAGCAGCCCATGTACTAACTACTGGCACAAGTTATACATGAGGTATCTGCACAATGCAGTGTTGCAACTCAGGCTGGCTGGCAAAGCCGTCCCTTTATCTCTGCAACACAAACAGCTTGTCATCACAGTCCTTAAGGGCCCAAGTGGTGGGCAGTATAGAGGGCAGTGCAGCAATATCCATTGTTGTACTATACCTCTATGTTGCCACATCTGTGCTCTCCCAACCAACGTGGTTAAGCATCATAAAATAACCCCCCCCCCCCACGACATGCATGGTACAGCGAGGCCCTCATCCAGAAAATAATGTAGAAAAAAAGCTGTCAATTCAAATGGGCAAATCGTGCAGCCCTTTCGTCAATCCTCTGTTACACAAGCACAGAGCTTCTATGAGTTCATAGGCTGGAACCAGTCTCTTGATACGCATTACCCTCCACGGAAGCTGTTGCGACTATCAGAACTGATACAAATTACCACTGGTATAGGCTGGTAATGTTGGCAGACATTCGCATTAGCGATGATTACTGCACAGCTGGTGACGGGGGTTAACATCGTAAGCTACATTACCAAGAACAAAGTGTGTGCTTTCACAGATAAGCGCTCATTTAAAGTACACAACTCTTACTGCACGCTATGACAATCGTATGCATAACCAGCACAATGCAAACAGATGAATGCGTGTGCATTAATTAAGGTCGTCAGTAATCGTACTTCACATCCGACCATCACATATCAAGCCCTGCCCAATTAACCGTCGACAACCCAGTACAGCATGTGCATGCTGTAACTGACATATTTGATGTATGTTCACAAATCAGACCTTTTCACTCGGCGATGTATTCTTAATCTCACGTGAATCCGCTTACTTAGAAACGTCGGAACACAGGTGAGGCTTCCCCCCCCCCACCCCCGACCACTGTCGTGTGTTATCAAAATAATTCTGTAAAAGAACCGATAATTATCGGTCGAGCAATCGATTACTCAAATATTCGAAGAGCACAGTTTGAGAAAGATCCCTCCGACGTATCTTGTTATTTATCCGATGTAACGACCGATGACGCGGCGATGCTAAGCGCCGCAATTGAGCATCAGTGCGATGGCGGTACCCTTGTAAAAGGTCGGCAGCGGTGGGTGCTTTATTCATCAAATCCTTCGTCTCTTTGGCCGTCGAGCCCATTTCGGGTCGGCTCATTCGTGCGCTCCTGACGGGGCATCACGTCACCCAGAGAGAGAGAGAGATCCACTAATCCAGCTGTACCGGCTGCTGACAAGCGAACAGAAAAGATGCCATGCTTAGCTTTGCAAAAAAATAAGCCATCACTTTTCGAGTTAATATTTGTTGCCATGTTTGATTTGTAACGTTCGATTTTTTACGATATATTTAATAAGCTCAGTTACGATAGCTTTAATTATCGGCAATGTTAAATAACATATTTATTAATCGTCAACTATCGACAACATATGAAATTATCACATCAACAGGTATTAATTAAACATGTTCACTTAAGCATGTTGCGGTTCAATGTTGTCAATATCCTACTGACTCTGCCAATTGAATTGAAAAAAATATAAAACACAGATATTGTATGCCTGTTCAATTCGGGTTTGATAGTGTGTGCGACTGATTGCTCGGGTCTGGTGGCTACAAGAACATGTGCAGCTGAATATCGCTTGGCATTCGCTTGTGCATTTAACTAGTTGTATGTTTGGTTTTTGGCAATATATTTAACAACGTATTAAATACGTTGTTTAATGTTCATGATAATTGAGGCCGCACAATTTTTCTCCCCGGTGGTGTTGTTTACACAACGCACCAAGGACATTTTTACATGGCCCGAGTCAACACACAGCACAGGCCCAGAACCGATTCAGATAATTGCCACTGATGTCATCTATGGCCAGGCTATTGGCTGGGTTCGTGGTGCAATATGCTAACCACTACACTGAACAAATTAATTGGGAGATGTTGCATTGATCGACTGATGCATTGGCAGTGGTGCACAAACACAATTCAACAGAAAGAAAAAAACTCGTCAACAACACTGTCTTTTATAAAAGAAGAAAATACACGCAGTTCTTGTTCTCGCGACCTTCGAAGGGCCAGTGTTGTTGACAAGGGTGTTGGAGCTATTTGTTTACACTACACCGTACAACACGCACTATTTTACAAAACATTCCGTTATGTATTAGTTACAACTGGTAGCTCATTAGGTGACGAGATTGGCAAAAGGAATGCCAACGCCATAAATCCTGGTGAATTTTCACACTTGCGTGAAGACAATGAATCCTACCGAAAGCATAAGCATATATAACGCAATAGAGCAGCATGTGCATATAGGGCCAGATTTACATTTTAGTTTTTACAAAAAGACCAAAATGGACCGCCCTTGGCTATTTGCCCCGTCGTTGGTGGTGACGACAGTGGGACACTTCTGCCAAAAATCGGACGAAGAGGAAGATTCAACAACAACGCGTGAATCGAGTTCATGAAGTTGGCTTGTATGTGTAAACGAACTTTTGATACAATATATACCGTGAGACATTTTAACTCATATGACAAGCTCAAGTTGCCCAGTACTTACAATGCTAATTAATCCTACATCCAACTCAGGCAACAGTGACATCAAGATATACAGCACCATCAACTTACCGCACAAAGTAAATGTTACGTTTAATTTGCATAAATGCATATGCCTCTGTCCACCAATAAGTATAAATGGATCCACCACAGTCGGTCTATGGGCAGATTGCTTATGGTGCATTAAGTTGTAGGTACTCCCAACTCTTGCAAAATGAACAAGTAGGCTGTGATACCCTGCGGGAGGGATTCTTTAGAACTCCCTGTCGTAGAGGCTCTTTCCACAGCAAGTGGTGGGAGTAAGACGTTTTCTGGGCTGCACCTTTGCGTTCAGCTTTTTGGCCAATTTCTGGCAAGTGGCGTCATCAGGATACACCGCACCGTGAATTTGTGTGCACTTTCACAACGCAACAAGAAAGCGGTTCTTGCGACCTTGCAATGCTCACCCAAAGGCCACATTTTAGCGTAAAAGTGCGTGGGGGGCATTCTGTCACACCGTAACAACGATTCCGAAGCCAAGCTCTATATACGCCGGGCAAGCAAGTGTTTGGACGGCACACAATGTCCCCCCCCCGCTCCCTCCCATACAGTGCAAAACGGGCTCGCATGCACACGTTGAAGAACGCGGCGGGAGTTAGCAGTGCGCCGCCATGCGCAGAGCAATTTTCAGGAAGCAAAAACAAAGCCAGCCAGGACCCAGCGATATCTCCCCGGCACAGTGCACTGGCGGCTCTACAGTGTTTTTCTGGCCGCAGCCCAGACATGAACTATTAGTAGCTGCGGCTTTCACCGCCTGAAAGCTAGATCGGTAATTCGGTGCCTCAAATGCATTAAGTGCAACACAAACAGGATATTCAATTGTACGAGTGAATTATGATCACTATCTGCTTTAATTTACTGGACTGGAACTTCAGGATCAGTTAAGTAGAGCCAAGCCAAGAAGAGTCCCCCCCTACTACTGCAGCGCAAATGAACACGGCCCCTTGCCTGGCCAGCAAATGACCGATAATGGAGTAACGGCTAAAGGTGCAGCCTTGCAATTGCTTGTTCATTCGGAAGGGGGCTCTCCACGAGAGAGAGCTCTCAACGACCCCTCTCTGGGAGGTATTCTTTGGACGCTCAACATCTTGGTAGAGCTGGGAGCACCCACACTTTGCCCCACCACACGTGAACCTGCTAATCGCCTAACTGTAGCATGCTTATTTATGGACAGGGGTAGGGGGAAGAGGATTTAAGAAATGTAAAAAAACTCGAGCACTGTTTCAACTGTCAGGCAGCAAGAAGATAGAACTGGTGACCTCTGGAATTTAAATCCCCTGTGCTAACCATTAAACCACGGCAGCATCCCTGGCAAAGAGTACTGCCTTTAAACACACGTGAAATATTTGTTTAACTACACAGCAAGCTCGGTAATATTTAACAGCAGTCAGAAAAAGACGAACGACAAATAGGCTATTGTCTTTAAAACTGTGTTCATATGGACAACTTACAGTTTGTAATTATCCTAATCCTGAAATAAGTAATACAGTGTAAGAAAATTCCTTCCAGCACTGGATAAAGCTCAGTTTTCAAAGTACGAGATGGGTTTTTTATTCCCTTGCTAACTAGCCATATGACATTAGATGTCACACACCAGGACAAATCATTATGTATCGTCATCTGTACATTTGGTGCTCATGTTTATGTAAATTGTCAACACAAGGACACGTCAATTGCATTGCATCACACATTTGCAACAAATGGACAACAAAAATCGGGCCAGCAGATGTGGAAATGGGGGTGGCGACGTGAAATGAAAACGAATCACCGCGGCGTATTTACAAAAGGACCTCTACAGGGTTCACATGTCGCGAGAATACAAAGGTAGAAAGAGCAGAGAGCCGCGTCCGATCTCCTTACCATAGACAGCAGCAGGGATCTTGACTCAGGAATCACATCAGACCACTTCATGCCAATCTGGGTTAAACATCTGCCCGCGGAGGGCCAGCGCTAAAAAGAAAGTTCCATGAAATCCCTCATGCTGTCACTGTGCACTGAACTCTCCGAGACCCTGCAGCTTCATTAACATAATTGCTTATTCCACAAAATTCAATTTTCTTTTTTTTCCCCCCAAACAAAAAAAAGAACCCCGTGGTTGGTTTGCAAATTTCAAGGACGCGTCCTCCTGCTGTTGCCTAATCATACGGTCTCATTAATCAAGACGGTCTTCTGCGCAGCTCCCAGGATATGACAGGTGAGACCGCGGGATAGCGCCATTCGGCAGAACGCACAACGGGCTCGTTTGCTCGCTCTCCAGAGAGCCAACGAGAGAGAAGGGAGGGGGAGAAAAATGACGGCGGCAGGTCGCTTGAAAACAACTCCGGCCGAAGTTTGATCTACGCTTCGCCAGCCCACACGCTGAATAAAAAAACGAAGTAGCAGCGTGACGTCAGGAAGGCCCACGCGTCATGGCAAAGGCTCAAACATTAACGTCCTCTGCCTCTCGTCGTATGTTTGTACGCCGCTGCTGCCGAACACACCGCTCCCCACAAAGCCCTCTCCGCTCGACGCCACTCCCACAAATATGGGCGCGAACCAATGGGGGCACCACCTCCAGTCAGGCGAGCCAATAGGAGCCAAGCGCAATCAATCAGTGTCTGATCTGGCCTCTCGTTGACCTCTCCACTGAACTTTCAACCCCCGGTTTTCTTCCTTCTTGCAACTCCCCAGAGCAATGCTTTGAGAATCGTATTTGTAATGAGCAACCGTTGCCACGATTCACTGTGTGTATCACGCTAATCTGCCTTAATATATTCAATTATCTAATCGGGCAAGACAAAACTATTTGAAAACATCACCGTCAATTCGAATTACAACTGTACACAAAACCCACGGGACCACTCGTGAGTGAACCTTCAATACCATTCATCAGAAATGTTACAAGTAAGCACAGCCGAGAATGGACCGTGAAAGTCACAGAAATCACTCAAGAGTAATGAGGCACAGTAAATAGTCCAATCTAGATTTGAAGTTTTCGTGACCGCAGGGATCCACTCTTTGGTTCTTTCGGTAAAGTCACGTAGGTATAAAATAAAACAAATAGTCCCCTTATCAATGCTTCTTGCTGTTGTTGTTGACAACATACAAGTACACAATCTTGTTTTTTTAAAGATAAAGACTTAAAAGAGGTCAAGGCCCTGCAATTTATTGCTCACTCCAATGCTGGCGAAAGTGCCTCCAGCAAGCCCAACGCATGAGACCTATCGATATAGTTAAACTGCTACCGATAGGTGGGCAGAGACGGAGGTGGATTTAAAAAACCTGCCCATGATTTCAACTGCCGCACCGGGAAACCAAATCACGCCGGCGACCTCTGGATTGCAAGTCGAGCGTGCCAACCATTACACAACGGCAGGAGAAAAAAATACTTAAACGACAGTTAATTGGTGGCAGCGCTTGCATCACACGTGGTGGGATTAAGCCACACATACTGTACCGCAAGACCTGGGGACTTTTAAAACCATCATGATAATCAGGCAGCACGGGCCAGGCTTTAAACACACAACGTCGATGCCTTGCTTGACTCAAACCAAGGGAAGGAAAAAATAAACCTTCGCCACAAACAGCGGCACAACAAAATAAGTTGCCCACATGTCAGCCCTGCACAAGCCACGGTTGTCTTGATGAGAATGGCCTGGTGCAGCATTTGGCGAGCATGCGGCTAAATTAAGAGGTTCTCTATTCCACGGTTTGCTGTGTCCCGTGGGACACCGTCTGATACTGTACCCCCCCCCCCCCAGTGCCTGGGCTGAAATCTTCCCAATGCCCCCCCCCCCAAGCCAGCAAGCGTAGCGACACAACCAGGAGCTTCGGCCAACGGCAACTCGTTGGGCTCTACCAACAACAACAACAAAGGTGTGCGTCAGACTGTAAATGAACAGAGGTGGGTAAAAACAAATGCACACCGCACTACTCCGGTAAAGTGGCAGGAAGGCAAGAGATGGTCTGTTTATCGGTAACAAATTGCGTCTGTAACGGTCTCCCGTACACACCCACGCAATTGAAGACATGAGTCCATTGGATCCTCTTTAAAAGAAATCCATCCCGCACCCCCCCTTAAGCAGGGAGGTAGAATTCGAACGAGCCGGGCGGAATCGCAGATCGTCCGTTAACCACGGTGCGAGATGTAGGCAGACAGGGGCTGTCAGACCGGCTTCGTGGATACGTGCTAAAGAGGTCGAGCATTTTGTTGCAGCCTTAAAAAATGAAAGAACAGTAATCAGTTCCAAATCCCCAAAGAGGCATGCGCAATCTGTGTCATTTCATGCTGCTGTGACAGAGGGGGGGAGGGGGATGAGATGCAAAACAAGGCTGCATTGCAGTGCGAGCATCTATTATGGTGTTTTATTAATACGGACGTCGTTCGGTGTATCTCCGTTGAATTGCTGACATTTACGGAATGGCAGGAGCATGTCTCCATTTTAACCGAGAACTATAACAGTTTATCACCCTCGGGACTCCAAACATGTGAAGTGCGGCAGCCGACCTTAAATTAGCATTAATAAAACATCCATTAAGCATGCGACTGCTTATACAGTGCAGAGTATTATTTCTCTTTACGCGAGACGTTTTAATTTACATGATCAAAACATTGACGCAACAACTGTTTTTACGAGACGTGTTTATAAGCACTGTAGCTATTTTTTCATATACTGTAGTCTACGTTTGTAACTGACCGAGCAACTGCATTCGCTGCGGTAGTTTCAACATCATCATCCATACATTTCTGGTTGAACTCAAGCAGTAACCCCCATCTCTCGCGTTCTTACAATTTGGCAAGCCAAAAAGTACCTGTACACAGGGCAGATTTCACTGCTCCATCTCCCCACTGGAAGAGCTCTGTTGGCTGACACTTTGCCATGAGTCTCGACCATCGGCTACCATGTTTCTGCCCAGGACAACTTATTTTATCAACCAAAATTATTTGGCGATGCTGCTACTGGATTTGCAGTGGTGCACATGCACAAACAACAAATACACTCGACACATTCATCATTAACACTGCAGGTAACATGTACCCATTAATTACAGGCACATTGGCATGTTGCTTTACATGATTAAATTCACTAATATTAAGCTTAAAGAGGCAGATGAGAGCAGGTTGGAGTACTTATAAAAACATTAGTTTACAGTCCTGTACATGTGGCATTTAAAATAAAAAGTAACAGGCCAGGTTCTGGGCAGTGGTACTTCTTCACACAGCGTATGGGGTACCAGTGGCGTGATGTTAAATACCTCGCCTGGTATTCAGGTCGTGGGTTCGACCCCAACCCGGATGTCTGTATATTTGGAGTTTGCATGTACTCCCCGTGGTTGCGTGGATTTTTCTCGAGGTCCTTCGGGTTTTCCCTCCACATTTATAAACATGCGTTTAGATTATTTGGCTGCTATAAATTTCCACATGATAAGCCGCCACTGCGTTGAGCTATCATTTATGGCCAGGTCACTTCTGAAAAAAAGAGCTACGTAGCTAAAGTGGGCCTTAGCTGGTAAAATAAATAAAGTTTAGTTTAATTGACAGAGAGGCCAGAGAGGTGGAGTGACTCGCTACACTCTACCTTTCAGGCCTCGCCATGTGCTGTGTAGAAGGGCCATTGCCCAAAAGTCACCAATTATCTACTTTTCTTTTTAAGTTCGACACTTAATTGTGCACTTTTCAGTTTTTGTTCAATCTACTTTGTTACTGTTCATGTTTACAGTATCGCATATACTGCAGTTACATGTAGTCTCAAGATATAATTTTTATTTGGGTGCAATTGTGAACAACAGCCACATCAGACAATCATTGGTTCACTGCAGCTCAAAGACTCAGTCCCTAAAATGCACGTGTAGTGGAGTTAGGAGATATCCACGTGCTCGGCATTTGAAGGCCCGAAGACCATAATCAGTGATTCCGCCGACAATGTGTTCAGGGAGGCAGTTCCATATCTGGACAGCGGAGTGTAATCCTAATCGAGTAAATCACCGGTTATATATCAGTGTGAAACATGTATACATACACAAATCTCAATCCTAAAATCGGCTCTCTACAGAGAGCCTATTCACATTAGAAGAGGGTGCCGATTCAGATTAAGATCTGTATGTGTGTACGCATGTTCCAAGTGACGCAGACAGCGCTAATTGCTCAGCATGTCACGTGGGACGAGTTTAACTATCAACGGGTGCGTGCAACAACTTAAAGAGTAGCTCTCAATGGAAGTCAATTGGTAAACGCGGAACGATACACTGTGGTGGTGGGGAGCGAGGACTGCAGTTTGGGGAACCTCGACCCGCACGATATAACCCCAGGACAAAACATCAAGCTTCGGTTATCTGGCGACATCAATAAAGCCATTAATAGTATATAGTATTTTTACTCTTGATTTGAAGCTTTCGTGACTGCAGGGGTCCATACTACGTGACTTTACCGAAAGTATTTTTTACTTTTAACGTCTTCCAACTAAGGGTGATGGAGTTTACGCATCCTTCCAGCCACCGATTGTTCTTCTATGTATGTATACCCGTGTACGGTTACACAGGGTTCCACGTAAATAGTAAGTCAGTGGCATAGCGTGGCTGGTATGGGTCCTGGTGCAAAGCATGAAAAGGGGATCCTTCCCCCTGTACACGTCCGCCGCCCCCTCCCTCTGCGTAACCCGGCGCCCTGGACTCCTCAAGCCCATGAACCATGGTGCAGCTGCACCGCCTGCACACCCGATAGCTCCACCATCTTAGAAGGCCAGAACTGTTTTTTATATGCATTACGAATGGCTATATATATGCGAGCAAACAAAATTGGGCTTAAGTTTTAATTAGTTTATCCATTGCACATTATTGTTATTCATAATCCTTAAACGCTGGTAAATAAAAACATTATTCTCGGCTCATTCAATTCCCCTTCCACTGCAAACAGGGGGGGTAATTAGGAAGTTCGAACATAAACTATCACAGAATACAACTACTGAGTGCACACACACACCCCCAGACATGTGGACAGTAACACGAAACTCTCACTGTACAGTAAGAAAAGTAGAGATCACGAAGGGTATCATCTTTAAAAAGTAACAGTAAAACACAAATTAATTTCACATTCTGCATTGGCAGAGAAAAACACACAAGGACAGCCATTCTTCACAGCGGCTTGTCTGAAGGTCATATCACTGCAGTCAAGTTTTTTTGGAAATGTTGCAACAAACACAAGTCACGCAATCGGCAAAAAAAAACGCGCGTGCCTCCATGAACAATACCATCGTTCGTACACTTTTCAAAAACGCCAGAATGAAACGATGAAAATAACCGTACCTTCTCTGGCTGCAAAACGGTGAGCAGTTCATTTGAGCCGTGGGCCAGATGCAGTCTTCACGTGCATTTGGTGAATCGCGTCGAAGGGAAAAAAATATATAAATATATTCTTGGCCGGATGAGGTAGCGCTCTCAGAGAGTATTCTCTAAGCTTCTGTGACAGCAGCGACACCCAGGGCACTTGCAAAGCCTGGAAAGCAGGGAGCAGAATAACACACTCGCCATTGTCGCAGCTTAGCCTGCCAATCTGAAATGGCTGACAATTAGGCAAATTTTTGGAGAACTAATTCGCGAGTAGTACCCATCACACCATTTGCAAGCCCTCCAACCCCTTGCACCACCCCCAAGATAGAAACGATGATCTCTTCATTAACTCTGACCCCAGCCCGTTTCCAGAAAGAAAAAAACACTCAGCATACTAACAACATATTACACATTTAACATGCACACGTGGGTTAAATATTTTGACGTCGTGCCGAGACATTTCCAGGTCGTGTTAAATGGTGTTGTAAGTGTATTTTATACAAATGCAAAAGACAATGTATTACACATGCACTGCATACGTACAGCATCATGCTCTACTGTGCACACCATGGTAATGTAGTTGAATCGTTCAGTCTATGCACGAAGTACACACTGCACATATGCAGCACACGCGTATGCTGCAGCGAACGAACCGTGCAGCAGCGTATGCACGCTGCAGTACACCTCGTGCACGTTTATTTACGTGCAAGTGCAGTGTACAGTCGCGCACACCGTGTGCAAGAGTGCACACTGCGTGCACAATTTAGCCATTTTGATCGTATGCGCCTGTACAGTACCAAAATGTTAATTCGGATTTTAAAATTCTAATTCAATCATACAAACACCCCGCAAGGGGCCACTGTGCGACAGGCTGATGGATGGCAAAGCAATGCTCCATCCGTTTATACAGTGTCATTAGATAGAGCCAATGGGAGTCACCGATATGCCAAGCAAATGCGGCCACGCTTGTACTATTTTTTTTATTCCCCCAGCCACAAACATGTAACCGAGCCTAGGATGAAGCATTTCCCCTCGGTATTAACAAAACCGTAATCTATTAAAACGCCATCCCCCTTGCAACGCAACGAATGATACATAAATATTTTTACAGTACTGAAGGGTCCAGGAATGACGCATTCTTTTAAAATCCGCGCAGTGACGAGAGGTAAACAACCACCACCACCGCCACCACAAGCCAGTCTTTATTGCTTATAATAGACACCATCCACACAGTTTTATCCCTACGAACTAAATCTCGGCTGCGTGGCTCTTCTTGGCAAACATCGGACGCCAGGGTCTGCACCGCGGTGTTACAAATTAACAGGTCGTGATATATTGTTTTTTTTTCCGGTGTTGTTTGCATCGTCGACGAAGGGATGTGCGCGCACGACCATTCGGAGAGCTCCAGAGTCAACTG